GTATGGTTTACACCATATGCGTGCACTACAGTTGACATTGACATAATCAACTACCCTACCAAGTGCGCAACTAAAATGAAAGCAAAATTTTACTATTGTAACCAAATCTGTACAAAAACGAGAACACCAGAATAGCAGCATACAAAACTATACTGAAATCTAACTGTAAACATGTATCTGCAGCTGGCGTAGTGCGTGCGCTAATCGAGGGTGAGAGACACAAATGTTTGGCTCACTGGGGAGGTGACAGCAACAAATGTAACAGGCACTGCAGAAGTTTCAAAAAAGATGAATTGAAAACAACTCATTTAACTTTTAAAAATGCCTGGTTATTCATACATTTTATGTTATGAAATGGAAGTGGCAAGGCTATTCAACACATAATTAGTTTCTCGTTGTATGGAAAAGCTATTAGACTGTTTTTGAATAAACCAGAGGAGAGCTGTTAGGGACACTAATTTTATTATCTCCAGTTTTCATTTTGAATTTTAATAGCCCTTGCTAAATAAAAGATGTACTTTTTCCCCATGGTCATAATCTTGCAAAAATACCTTTGTATTTAGTACGCACCTTCCTCAAAAAGATACATAAAACTGTTGCAACACTGTTTTACCACATTTCCAAACTGCCCAAAGTTCATCAAAAATACACCACTGCATGACATAATTATATTCAACTTTCTTCTTGGTGTTTAGTAATGCAGTAAAAGATACATAAAACTGTTGCAACACTGTTTTACCACATTTCCAAACTGCCCAAAGTTCATCAAAAATACACCACTGCATGTCATAATTATATTCAACTTTCTTCTTGGTGTTTAGTAATGTGGTAAAACCTGGTCTCTCATGTTTGGTATATGACATAAAGAAAAGGCTAATTTCCATGGTGTTAAGTAATTACATGCATGAGTAGCAACAATTAAAAAGTTATTACAAAGCAAGAGGTGAGAAAAAAATCTTTGCATTAGGGTGAATGAAAAATATATTCTTTCAAGTGGTCAAGATGTTATTTTTCCTAAACAACAAAGAAACAGCTGAGAGATGAAGAAACAAACATTAAACTAGGGGAAACTGGCATAAAACAAAACTTTCACAGGTAGCATTTCAGTAATTACATGTACGTGTTATTAAGCCAAGCACGAGGGCTGTGTCAGGAAGTAATGCCCAAAGTTGACTGGTACAGTGTACACCAAACTCTGCTTGGCCTGTACAAGATCAAGAACTAGCTTAATAAACAAAAGAGACACATAATTTGTTAGCTTCAGATTGAACTTACCACACGCAGTTTTGGTTTCCCTGTGGCTTGGCTGGTCTTCTTACTTTCCTGTTGAGGCTGAGGCTGAGGCTGAGGCATTTCTACTTGGGCTATTTTCTGTGCTTCATCTACACCCAATGATTCAAAAGAGCTAAGGGATGTGTCAGCACAGGAAGTTTCAATAAGTGTAACCATGGACTCACTAGACATTCTGTGTCTCTGAGACTTGGGCTGTGTACCGTGAATTTCTGTAGGCTGCCCCAAAGATGGATGCACTTCTGCTGAAATGACTACCTCAGTGGCATCTGCTGGCTTTTGTTCTCGCCTTCTTCCTTGCTTCTTAGGAGTTAAATCAGGAGCAAATGGGTTTGTTGCACTGCCAACATGACCTGGATCTTGGTATGTTTTGGGTCTTGCACCCTGTGACAAGCTTGGTGAACTGGGAGGTCCAAATAAAGAATATTGTTGCATTTGTTCAGGGCCAAAGTTTAACAAACTATCTTCTTTGACATCACTGCATCCATATTCCTGAGCTGCCAAGTCTTTTGCAAAAGGATTTGTACTTGGCAAGCTAACAATTGGAAATGTAAGTGTAACTGGGGTTTGTTCTTTGGTGGATTCCAAAGTTTCTTTTGCAGCTGCAGAGAATGCCTTATCAAGTTCAGATGCCGGTACCCACTCTGGTAAGTTCTCCGTTTCTTCACTCTCACTTGTCTCAACGCATTTTTCTGCCACTGGAATGCTCTGGTAAACAGGCTTATCATGCCCTGTGGCATTTAACTGCATATCACCATCTGTGCCATTTTGTTGTGACACGGGTGCCATGACTGATGGTGAAACACCACTGGAGAAACTCTCACTAGAAGAATTTCTAGTGTAACACTCTTCCTCCTCCTCAAATGAAGATGCAGCTGTCCCATTTATTTGCTGAAAAATAGCATCTTTTGTTGCTTTATCAATAACAGGTGAGGCTAAAGGTAAAATGATTGGTACTGAAGCCTTTACTGCACCATTTTCTACTCCTGCAACACAGTCATTATTGTCTGATGAAGGAGTCGTTGATGGAACAGGTTGAAGGACTAAGATGGGTTTCTCCCCATGCATGACGATCTGAGGCTGGTAGTAAAAAGGAAGCTTTGATGATACTTTTTCATTTCCACTCAGAATACTGTCTAGATTTCCATACTCAAACTTTCCAAAGGTATTAAAGCTTTGATCCTTTGCTAAGTGGAGGTTTTCACATGAGGTTTGAGTGCTTGTCGATGATATTGACAATGTCCTCTCTAAGACTGGAACAGTTACGCTTTCTGGTTCATTTCTAGCTTCTACTTGTGACACTCCATCTTCAATGACTGCAATGCCATCATCCTTGGAACCAGTTATTGAAAAGGTACCAGGAGCCACTTCTTTATTTTGTATATCATCATTTATTCCATCTGACTGGATAGCCTGAAAAGAATCATTTGGTATAGCTGCTTCTGACAAGTCACTGTCACTTGACGTCACCACAGAATGTGATGATGATGATACTGCTTGATCATCATCTGAAGACGATGATTCACCTTCATCTATTTTTGGGTCATTCTTCTCTATAATTTCTGTTTCCAGTGACTGTGGCTGAGAGTTTGAAAGAGGGGCCTGTTGAAGGTAACGTGTTTCCTCCACAAATGATGTTCCATTGATCTCAGCCTTATCAGAGAGTCTTTCCACAGATCCCTCATCATCTATAAATTCAACACCAGAAGAAACATCATCAGCTTTCTTTGACAACAGCTCAGGTATTTTTTCATCTTCACTTGAGCTAGCACTCTCTTGTAAGAAATCTGTGGAATTTTCATTTGTGGTACTCAGATCATCTTCCACCTCTTAAGCTTTATTAGACAATTCCTGCAACTTCTGATCTTCATTGGGAGTGAGGACACTTTTCTCAACAGAATCAAAAGGATCAACACTTGTATGATCTGTTGCACAAGCTGGATCTAATGGTGTTTCATCTGCATCATAGCCACTTTTCCTATCTTCTTTTCCCATTGTATCAACACTGAGATCTTTATCAGCACTGTTCTCTTCACAATCGCCAGCTTCTTCATCATTATCAGATACTTCCAATAATAGCTCACGGCTTCCATGGCCATTGTGACCATCAACATTTGTATTGCCCAAGGTTGCACTGCCTTCAGGTTGGAGTGATGATTTTTCCTCAGAAGCTGGTACTTCCTTTGGTTTATTTGAAAACATCTTCAGTACAGCATTATATTCATCTTCAGAGGCATTCTTCATTGCCACTTTCAACTGCAATACATGTTGCGCTGTTTCTAGTGGAAGAGTTTGTGTCAGACTTCTCATCTCATCTTCAGCATCTTGTGTGCCAATTTCCATGGCTCTTGA